GAGCCGCGGACCCCGGGGCGGCGGGGTAGGGGCGCGCCGGCGGCCGTGACCCACCTCCTTGTCGGGGACCCACTGCGGCTCCTCGAGGCTGAACGGGCTGCCGAAGGCGCGGTGCTCGGGCACCATGCGCAGACCGCTGGCGGAGCGCACCAGCTTCTTGGCCTCGCGGCGCGCGGCCACCTCGGAGGCCATGACGCCGCTCACTGACCGCCGCCCGCACTCCGGCCCTGGTCCAGGGAGCCCCGCCCCCTGACGGCGTCCGCGCCCAATCGCCACGCCCGGCTCGGCGCGCGGGCCAATCGGAGCGCGGGCCCCGCCCCCCGCTGCCCTCTCCAATCCGCACGCGGGCCCCCCCGCCCCACCTCATCGTGCGATCGGTAGCCAATCGTGAGGAGGGGCGGCCCGAGCACGCTCCGCCTCTCCTCGGCAATTGAGACTTTGGATTGGCCACTTAGTTGGCGACGTGGGCACAGCTTCCTCTCTGATTGGCGTAGCCTACGCGGGGGCGCCCCGTGTTCATTGGAAGAAGAGAGTGCGAGGGCGGGACGGCACGAAGAAGCCTGCGGAGCGCGGGAGGCTTGCGGCGCGGAGGTCCGGGCCGGGTCCGGGGCGGTGGGGCGGCCCCCGGGACTGGCGAGCCCGCTAGAGACGGCAGCCGCGCCGGGCGGGGCCGTGCGGGCGCCCAGGGCCCAAGGCAGTCGGGGAGGGTTGGGTGGGGCACGTCGCGGGTCGTGGCGACGCCCTGGGAGAAGCTGACGGGGACGGCGGCCCGGCCGGCTCTGCGGACCCGCAGGTCTGTGGGGGGCTGGAGCGGGACGGGGAGCGGGGAGGCCCTGGGGGAGGCGCACGCCCGAGGCGGGGCCGGACCCCGGCTGGGCCCTCTGGAGAAGCCGCAGCCCTCGACAGGGGCTGTCCCCGCGGGCTCTAGGGGAAGGCGGCCAGGGAGGCCCCACCTGAGCCCGGCTGGACCCCCCAGCAGCTGAGCAGGGTGAGCCCAGGCCAGCCCTGACGGCCCTGCCGTGCTGCATGGCCAGGGGCGGGGGCACTCTACTCCCCCCCCAGCTCTGGCTTGGGGGCGGTTGTGCACGCCAGGCCCCTCGCCCCGTGCGGTAGGTGCTGCCCCAAAGGTCCCAGTCGCGAGTGCACCCACTCAGGAGGCCCATCCCGCTGCAGAGCGAGGCTGCCCACCACCCCCATCCTGTCCAGGGAGCTGAGCAGCGCAGGGGGCCTCGGCCCACTGCTGGGGAGCCCAAACCTGGAAGGGGGTGTCCAGGGAGGTGAAGCTGGGTCCCTAAGTGGGCTGGCAGGGACGTGGCTCCTTCCTGCTCTCTGGCGGCGAGGGGTGACCACTGGCTGGGTCCCACACCTGCTGCCCAGCCCAGTCTCCGCTGACCACCCCCTGGAGCTGAGGTTTCCCACACTCTCGCCTGTTCTGGCCTTCGGACCCCACCTCATACCGCAGGGAGTCTCTCAGGGCGCCCAGCACCCTCCCCGTGCAGGTGGCCGCTGCTGGCCTCAGCCTGGCCCTGAGATGCAACCTGTGGCCTCTGTGCTGCAGGCTTGGACAGGACACGGGGCCAGCCAGTGTCCCCAGACCACAGGACACCCTCGGGGTGGGACCGGGTGCCACCAGCCTCCTCCCAGCAGATCAGGCCAGAGCCACCCTCGGGCCTTCCAGTGGACGCCAGGGGGCCTCGGGCCAAATCAGCCATGGCCAGCAGGGCGGGGCCCCTGGTCCTCTGCACCCAGGGTCCAGCTGCCAGCGCCCTTCCAGGGAGGGCCCCTCCCACGCTGGCCCGCCACAGTCCAGAGCTGGCAGCAGTGTGGAGTGGGGGGGCAGGGGCACAGGGCCTGACTCCCCAACGCCCTCCAGACCCCAAGCTTGTCCTTTCTACCCTCCAGCATCTTCACGGAGCCGCCACGGCCTGGCAGGGGCCCACACCCCACTCCAGGACAGGATGGGGGCAGGACTCGGCCCCTGAGCCCCTCTGCCCTGGGCTGGCGACTCTGGCCCCAGGTGTGTGCGGTGACAGCAGGCAGGTGGGCACCCACCTCGGACAGCGGCTCGTGTGTGGTCAGCTGGGGAAGGGATGGACCTGGCGCAGCTGGACCTGAACCCCAGAATTGTCGCTGCAGCCGGAAGAGGTGTGTGAGCAGGGGGGCTGGGCCGTGCCTGGACCCCAGGGGTGCGGCAAGGCTGTCTGGCTAGAGTCGTCACTTCCACAAAGTGGCATGCGTGACCTTCAGCAGCGGAGCAGCCTGCTGCCCGCGTGTCTGTGGGTGCTGGGGGGTGGGGGGTGGCCTCTACGCCCCTTGCCGCACGGTGTGGGCATCGGCGGGGCTGACCAGGGACGTCCCCTCTGGCACCCATCGAGGCTGGGCCGCTGGCCCCCATGGCCACCGATGGTCTGACCTGTCTGTGTTGGGCCCGACGGCGTCCCCGAGCCGCTCTCGGGCATGAGCATCTGTGTCCTGGGCAGCGGCTCCACTGTCCCTTGCTGGGCTGGCGTCTGGCCGCTGGCCGCCTGGTGTTGACCTTCCACCTCCTGCGGCAGCCCACGGGCAAGCACACACCTTCCATGCCCCACACGCTGGCCGCCCCGCCCACTGCGGGCACCAGCCCCCTAGTTTGGACCCTGGCGCAGCTCCTGGAGCCCTGCGGGCCTGGGGGCGTCTCCCCGCCGCCCCGCATGAGGCGCCCGCGCCCTTTCCTGCCCCTCCGTGATTTCAGCCAAGCTGAGCTCCGTGAGGGACGTCTTGCACTTCTCGGCGCCCGATCTGCAGCGGCTGACCGGCCTCTCCGGCCCTGACGTCCAGCACCTGCTCAGGACAGCAGCCTCACACCTTCGGGGACACGCGGTCGTCACAGGTGGGCAGCGCAGTGTGGTGGTGGCCGGCAGGCGGGCCGTGGGGACGGGGCCCACGCCCTGTGGGCCAGCTCCGGGCTGAGGGAAGGGGCCAGCTGGGCACGAGGCAGGGTGGGCGGCCAGGGGGCCGGGCACCGCCTGAGGGCCTGCTGGCTGTGGCCAGGCGCCCTCCAGCCTGACCCTGCGCCCCCAGCGCTGCACCTGCTCCAGCAGAAGGCACGCTTCCCGGGGCAGCACCAGCGCTTGAGCCTGGGCTGCCCCGTGCTGGACGGGCTCCTGGGCGGCGGCCTGCCCCTGGAGGGCATCACGGAGCTGGCCGGCCGCAGTTCGGCGGGCAAAACCCAGCTGGCGCTGCAGCTCTGCCTGGCGGTGCAGCTGCCGGAGCAGCATGGCGGCCTGGCAGCAGGTGCGTGCGGGCGGGCGGGTGAGCCTGTTGCGAGCTGCGGGGTGCTGGCCGGGCCAGGGGACAGCAGCGGGCGGGGAACCCGCCGCCTTGCCTATGGCAGCCGCACGGCTCATGCAGCACTGCCCGCCCCGCTAGCATGGGGACCCAGGACGGGGCCCCGAGCTGGACCCCGCCGGGGCACCGCGCGGGCGGGCGGGCGGGGGCAGAGCGACACGTGGTTCCAGGCGCCGTCTACGTGTGCACGGAGGACGCCTTCCCGCACCGGCGCCTGCAGCAGCTCGTGGCCCAACAGCAGCGGCTGCGCCAGGACGTGCCCGGGGCCGTGCTCGGGGCCGTCCGCTTCGGAGACCAGATCTTCGTGGAGCACGCGGCTGACGTGGTGAGTTGCGACGCCCCGGGAGGCGCCTGCGGGCTGGGCGCAAGACGAGCGGGGCTCCGGGGGGAGCTCCGGGGGCCACAGACCACCACCGGCTCCCCGCCCACGGCCTGGTCTCCGGAGTGACCCCTACAGTCGGCTGCACCCCAGCCCCCCCACACTAGGGGGCACCTAGGAAGAACTTCAGGGGCAAGATCGAGCCGTATAAACTTTTTAATTTTGGAAAAATGTACAGTAGAGCAGTCCGCCCAGGGCCGACGGGAGCCGGGGTGCGGTCAGCCCTGGGG